GATACAGGTAGTGGAGTCACTTGGTGAAGTCACGTGTCGGATTAACGTGGTGAAGTCACGTGGTGGAGTCACGTGGTGGAAACACGTGGTGAAGTCACGTGGTGGTGTCACGTGGTGGAGTCAAGTGGTGGAGTCACGTGGTTAAGTCACGTGGTGGAGTCACATTGTGGATTCACGTGGTGAAGTCACCTGGTGGTTTCACGTGGTAGAATCACCTGGTGGAGTCACGTGTTAAAGTCACCTGGTGGAGTCATGTGGTGAAGTCACGTGTCGGATTCACGTGGTGAAGTCACCTGATGGAGTCTTGTGGTGAAGTCACTTGGTGGTGTCACGTGGTGGAGTCACGTGGTGGAATCACCTGGTGGTGTCACGTGGTAGAGTCACGTGATTGAGTCACGTGTTAAAGTCACGTGGTGGAGTCATGTCGTTAAAATCACGTGGTAAAGTCAGGTGGTGGAGTCACGTGGTAAAGTTAAGTGGTGGAGTCACGTGGTGGAGTCACATGGTGAAGTCACGTGGTAGAGTCTCGATTTAAAGTCATGTCGTGCAGTCACATGGTGCAGTCACGTGGTAAAGTGATGTGGTGGTGTCATGTGGTAGTCATGTGGTGGAGTCACGTGGTAGAGTCACGTGGTAAAATCACGTGGTATAGTCACATGGTTGAGTCTCGTGGTAAAGTCACGTGGTGGAGTCACGTGGTGGTGTCACGTGGTGGAGTCACGTGGTGGAGTCACGTGGTTAAGTCACGTGGTGGAGTCACGTGATGGAGTCACGTGATGGAGTCACGTGGTGAAGTCAAGTGGTGGTGTCACGTGGTAGAATAACGTGGTGGATTACGTGATAAAGTCACGTGGTGGAGTCACGTGGTAAAATCAAGTGGTGATGTCATGTGGTGAAGTCACATGGTAGAGTAACGTGGTAAAGTCACGTGGTGGAGTCACGTGGTAAAATCATGTGGTGGAGTCACGTGGTGTATCACGTGGTAAAGTCACGTGGTAGAGTCACGATTTAAAGTCATGTGGTGCAGTCACATGGTGCAGTCAGTCATGTGGTGGAGTCACGTGGTGGTGTCATGTGGTAGAGTCATGTGGTGGAGTCACGTGGTAAAGTCCCGAGGTAGAGTCACATGGTAAAATAACGTGGAAAAGTCACATGGTTGAGTCTTGTGGTAAATTCACGTGGTGGAATCACGTGGTGAAATCAAGTGGTGGTGTCGACGTGGTAGCAGTAAGTGTGGAATCAAAGTAATACACATGGTGGAATGTCAACGTGGTATAAATCCGTGGTGGAGCACGGTGATAAAGTCCCTGGTGGTAAAGTCACGTGGTTGATTTCTACGTGGTAGAGCTCACGTGGTTGTCAGTCATGTGGTGAGATTAGGTCTACGTTGGAGTATACGTCATGTGGTGTATGTGCATCCTGGCTCTAAGACGTCACGTTTGGCTAGAGTTTTTTGTCAGTCCTGGTGACTGGGCTCACTAACATTCACGGTCTGTCTTAACTTGTCTGCTCGGTCAATATATACACGCTCTGATCCAATTCCAATTTATGTGAGTATAGGTAGAAGAGCCAGTTATCAGTTCCTATAAACAATGATTAACAATCCTCGTAAAATAATTTTAAAACGTTCCAAAAGTCAAGGTCATTAATGAGTGAAAGTCAAGGTCTGTCTGGTTATTTTTAAGGTATATCCTTGAAGATTCTTATGTTCAAGTTTGAAGACAATCCATTCAAAAATAATAAAGTTACAGCCAATAACAGCATGAACAAGCAAAATTTGGACTTTTAACCTTGAAGGTCAAGGTCATTTATGGATGAAGTTCAAGGTTAGTGTGATCTACTGAAAGGTCTTGTCCCAAGGGTTGTTGTGCCCAAGTATGAAGACATTACACCAAGAAATAAAAAAGTTATGACCCAGTTACAATTTTCTGGACGGCAAAGCGCCGCGACTATAACAATACCTCTACTCTTTTTTTTTCAAAAAAAAAAAAAAAAGAGATAAAAAGGGGCATATCTTTGTCAAAATACAATACAGAGTAATACAACTAGACCTGCATATCTTATTTGTGACACCTCATATATCTTTTAAGTTTCAAGCAAATACCTTTTCTTGTTTCAGAAAAATTCAAGTACATGTGAAAAATTAAGTACATTTTCAAAGTCATTTTTTTTTACCTTCAAGTGTGACCTTGACCTTTAGCCACATGACAAAGCTGCAATTGATTCTGCACATAACCTTGTTGAGGTGAACATTTGAGTATATCTAAATTTTAAGATATTCAGACTTTTTTTAAGTTTTAGTATATATCTTTGTAACATCCGTCCCCTACCAACACTGCATAAGATTTAATATCTAGAAAACAGTATTTAAAAACTTATCCTTTCATCCCAAAAATATTGTTACAGACATCCTAAGGTTCTTAAAAAGAGCAAATATTTCCTTGTATGTTTAACTCTATTTGTTGACTAAGATGCTAACACAATTGGCCCATTTACTGTGCAGCAGGCAATATGTCAATGGACTTTGAAATATTTAAGGTACTGGTACACAAACTTGGTGAACATTATAAGTAGAAAAGGGAGCATTATTCTGTCAAAATACTTGAAAGAGTTACCTCCTCTTATTTACAGGTAGAATGGTGAACACGTGTGCAAACTTTAGCATAAGTGGTTATGCCGACGCAGACCCCATTCTATAGGTACTAGGATAACTCTTCTTCTTCAAATAATCATGCTACGAGTTGCCCAAAAGGTAACAAGTTGCTCACAGAATGAGCTGACCAAGGTTGATTTTGCATGACATGCTTTATAGTAATGCTAATAATGCTTCCAGGCCCAGGAGCATCAATGTATATGCCACATATTACTGTTATAAAGTACATGTAAAGAAATAAACAACACTTACTTGGGTAAAATACATCTAAAATTAATCCACATTTGTTGTCCCAGTAAGAAAATCCTCAGTTTCCATTCACATCACATTGTTATGAACAGCAAAGTATTGATTAAATCTCAGACTCAAAATAAAAAATATGATGTCTATTTCACCTGTCACTTAAATGTCTCATAATCTAGTTATAAATTGTTTCTCCTAAGTACATGCAAGGTTACTCAGTACTTGTTGTTGTTGTTTTAAACTCAAACAGGTACACTCCAGACTCCAAGGTGTCATCATAGGTGACCACAAAATTGTCTGATTGTTTTATAAATATTTTAAAGTTTTCAAATTCTGTTTCTGGTTTTATATCACAACCTAACAACTGTACTGTCACTGTATGTGGTAGTTTGTTTATAACAGTAATGAGATCATGTAACACTGAACAAGACATTGTTATATCAAACAAGTAAACACGTTCAATATTGATCATTTGAGGTGTCAGTGTTAATGATCTATCACCTAGATTGATTCTCACTAACATAACTTCTTTCACATGATATAACAATGATATTGTTTGTAACATTGTTTCTATGTCACTGGAAGATTCTAGATTACTACACGTAAATGTTTGTAGTTTACTGGCTGCTGGTAGTTGACTGAGATAAGATGACACAACACCAGGTTTATATAATTCACCTACAACACATTTCTCTAACAGTGATACATCCATGTTTAATTGTGACACAGGTATCACGATCAATCCTAAACATCTTAGTTGTGAATGTTGAGACAGGTCAAGGTTGAATCCCCTACATGAAGTATCATGATCACTACAGTATATATTGTTTAATGATATTTCTTTCATTGATTTTTTACTAGTGAGGAAATTTAACAATGTCTCCATTACCTCGTGGGTCATAGTGAAACAGTTTATATTTAAACACTCCAGGTGTTGTAATTTTACCAGTCGTCCATTTATCTCTGCAGACAGCAGGCAAGGTTCTCCTACAAATTCATGATTTTCCCATGTATTTGATGTCACAGTTAAACATTTTAAAGGGTTCAATAACAAGCTCATTAGTTCCTCTTCTACAATTTCACCTTGATAGTATAATTTCTCTATATGTGGAAGGTCAGAGAGTGTAAACAAATTGATTATTTCTTGTAGACTACAAATATCTTCATTTTCTATCATTATTGATTTTATATTTTCTTTATTGTGTTGACACAGATGTTGTAATTGTTTGAAGTAGTTTTCTTGTTTACATTTTTCATTAATGAAGAAATCTTGTAAACACAATTTTAGGTTTTTGTTTTCCTGGCTTTCTTTGGCACACGAAATGTACATGTCTTGTGTGTCTTGTAATGGATAAAAGTACATGTCATCATAAAATACCATAGTTCTGTATTTGCTTGTTTTTTCATCATTGTTTATCACAGGCATCAAATCACTTGATATTGTAGACATTAATTTAGGGTTCATGTTACTAATAAAGACAAACACTTTTGACATGTCTAGAATATTTCGTACACAGTTGCACTCTTCAAAAATGATTTTTTGAACTTCATTAAATTTTGTATTTTGAAAACTTATAAATATTGCTGAAAAGTATTCCTGCACTGTTTTATGTGAAAATGAGATTTTAAAACTTTCATTTATTAATGTTTTCACTTTACTTTCTGATAATATTCCTGATAGACAGCTTGATTTCAAATCTTCTTGGCCAAGATATTTGTTTGCAACATTTTCATCAAAAACTAATTTGTGCTCTTTTTTCTTACTGAACAATGTATTAAAAGCTAGTTTCCCAATGGTCACCAGAAACGTATAGTAACGACAGCAATGTTGATGTTTTTTTAAACATTCTGGAACATTACTAGGGGATGTTTCACATGATGAATGAAACATTCCATGTAACTTTTCTGTTCTAGATAGAAGGAGCTGTATAATGCCTGTATATAATTCTACTGCGGAATTTCCTATTGGAATTTTTGCAATCCATAAACATATAAGATATAGCAACAGGAGAGGGGTGGATTCCATATCATCAAGGTCATGGTTTCTAATTTCCTCTTCAAATCTACAAACTTCATTGATCAGTTTTTCTTCTTCAATGTTGCCTTTCAATATTTTCATTGCGTTTAGGTTAAACTGCCTTACATTTTGTTTATCTAGTTTAACTAGCTCCACTGTTTTGTCTACTTGATTAGTCTTCAAGTTTGAGACTCCAAGCTTCCATGGCCGGGTCGTTGTTAGGATTACACACTTTTCACGTGCATACCGATGAGGAATACTTTTTGGAAGTCTTGAACAATCGTTGTCAGGATGAACCATTCATCAAGTCCATCTAGTAAAACAAGACATTTTTCATTGCGTAAAATGTCATTTAAAAGAGTTTTTGGTATTTCAGATTTACAACGAAGATTATTTATGATTTGTTGTTCAATCATGTTGTCAACATCACATTCTGTATCTACGTCTCTCAATAGCACTAGAAATAAAAACTCAAAGCCAGATATCGCCTCCAATTCTTCTTTTTTAAAATGGTTATAATTTTCATCCTTTTTATGAGCTTGACACCATGTTATAGCGAGATATTTTGAAAATGCTGTTTTCCCAAATCCAGCGACCGCTGATAAATATATTTCCCTTGAAACTTTTCTACCCGATGTAAACAGGTCCTGTAACGACTTGACTCTAGTTGTTTCTTTCCTTCCACCTGGAAGATTCGTCTGTATGTCAATTTCTGGCATAATGTAGAACCCAGCTAGAGGGGTATGGTCATCATCTGTGAGTGGTGAAAGAGGAACTGTACTCTGATAGGTGTTGTACCAGTCTATAAGTTCATCCTTCAGATCTGAAATGGAAATAATTGACATATAAGTATTATTCATGCAGGTGATGAAATAAAAACAAACAAACACTGATATGATTAATTAATTATAAAGGTGTCAGTGTGTACATATATATTGTAATACATGTATATAAAACACAATTAGCCTCACTAATAAAGGAAAGAAAAGCCAACAAAAATCGTTCAGAAACAAAATGTCAAAAAAAGTGTTTTTTTTTTTATTATTCCTTAACATTAGATCTACTTTATAATAGTTTCTAATAGAAATAGGACATACAAAAATGTTGAAATTGATACAAATTGTATTCGTCTGCCTTTTTTAACTAAAAATAGCAGACGAACACACTTTTTGCGACGGACGCGCCCTCAGGCGCGTTCAGAGCTAAGTCATCTACACATGGAATTTCGTTGGCTACACTCGCGCAATGTGTCCTAAACCAATTAACAGCCCAAGAAATAGTACATGAATTTGATCCTTCAAAACTCCCATACTTTGTCTGGATATCTTAATGTCTTCCATATTTAGCCTTTTCAATTTCAAATTAAGTTATCCAAGTTAAAATATGAACGTATATTATTGATAAAAACGTTGTAGTCCCGTAGTATTATTGCGCAATATGCAAATTACTGCTGAAACGATTTACCGCTGTCGAAAAAGTAGGACAGCAAATTATACTACAATAAAGGTGTAACCTCTGAGTTCCAAGACATTATTAGTAGGAAATAAATATTTCTACATTATACAAAACATTATTATTAACAAATCAAAAGTTTTTCGTGACTCTAGGATAACTCGCGCATTAATAAAAGAAGAACTATTTTCGTGACTCATACCGCGGGTTTAGCTGAATATTCAGCAGTTAATAATATATTAGATACAGTACAATGGCTAGTATAAATATCTATTTTTGAAAATGCATGTAAGACACTTTACCGCCATGTAGTCTTTCATGGTAAGGAAGTTATAATATCAGTTCTACTTCCGATTCTTGTGGTTTGTTTACATATTTTACTAGGTCATGATATGAGTTAAGCTTCGCTATTCTAAAAATAGATTCTGCTTCTCCTGTTCTGATTTTTGGACAGGCGATTAGGAAGTACACATTAAACATGTAATTAATAAACCAGCGGATTGTAATGCAATACTTTTAGAAATGCTATACAATTGTAAGAAGCAAACAAGTTGAAAATGGAATTTAGTGTGAAGTTGAAAAGGACAACTAAACACTGTAGTGCTTAAGTGACATTTAAATTAAAATAAAAACGATGTGCTCTGGCCTCTACATCTTTACCTTGTAAATAAAAAAAATCTAAGAAATACACTATTAATTGCTGATGATTTTAACCAATTTTTTTTTAATGAGACATATCCAAGAGAAATAAAAATACAAATGACTTATATTTTATTGTCTGTATGCCCACTATGATATAACACGAATCAATTCTAAATAGCATTCTCAAATGTATAATGTATTATGTTTGAAGTTTATTTGCCTGCATTTATTCTAGAAATATTTCGTTGATAGGTTTTTTTCTATTTACATATCATTTCTTAGAATAAATCGATAAGGACACTGATTTACAAGTTTGACCAGAGCTTTTAGGCATAAATTTCATTCTGTATTTAAGTGCTTGAAAGTAGAAAATCTGAATTATATCACAAAATATATTGCTCTACAAATCTCGAACTTGTATGGAACAAATTTTCTCTGTTATATATTTTGTGCTTTGTTTTTGTTTTGTTTTTGTTTTTTCTAAAAGAAGCCTTAATGTCTCTCCGGTTGCATGTCCGTCGCATTCAGTGCTGCAGCACTTTGATTAATAATTTGTAGGAAATATTTTACTGAAATTCATACAAAATATCTCAAGTATACCTCTTTTACTGTTTCACTGAGCATCTCACTTCATATTTTACTCTTTGCAATCTTTCTATAACAAAAAGTCAACTTTTGGTTGCCTCGGTCATTACTAAATTTGAAATGCACTGACAACTGTAATGAACATTAAACTATAAATAGTAATCAGGTGTCATGGACTGGCAAAATATATCTATGGAGCGCCATAACTGCCTTATAGCCTGGGCACGGTACTTAACATTTATCCAAAAAAAAATATATATAAAAATCATACATGAATGAGATTTCTCTTCTTTTTAATAAGTGATCCTTTTCCAAAACTGTTTGTCGAATTCTATTTCAAGATATTCAATAAAACTGTCTTTTATTTTTAAAACTATTTCTATAGTCAGCCATTTTGGCAATCGGAACATCCTCGGCTATAATCAATTATAAAACCTCGGAGTAAATTCGGATTGAAAGTAGTTATACCACGTTGTTTCAGATGTAAACAGAAACAGAGAGTGTTATCTTCATATTCTCTCTATTTTGACATCCAAAGAAAAATATAGTTTGTTTCGGTACAATAATGATTGAAAATATGTTTGAAAACCATTTTGAATTTCAAAATGCCCACTGGGGTACAATTTAAACAAATCCGACTAAATGTCAACAGGTTGGCATTTTGTACTTTCGGTTTCTACAATCATAATAATAAATATATAAATAATGTATTGTTTGCATTTGTTTCTATGAATTCACATAGTTTAGGTGGACTTTTACTTAAGCTAGTGCTAGGGGGCCTGCAACATTTTCAATTTTGCCGTGTTGGGCTTTCTTTAGGGATTCTTATTTCTCTCTATTTTACTTCGAATATTGGAAAGAAGTTTGTCAAAAACTCCGAGCATTAAAAAAATACTAATTGTTACATGTTTAGTTTTTAGTGTAAGATAGAACGAAATAAAGCATCCGTTCTGTGTCCTTATCCGAAGATTGACAAGTTGCGATTGCCATTTTGGGTGATTTCAGAGGTTACTATGGCATGACGGTCTTCCCCAAAAATGCAAGTATAAAAGGACAGATGGGTCAAAATCTTCAAATTAAGATGTGGAAAACTTCCAACAGTTAACTGACTATAAAATTCAAGCTATACGAATAAATGATTTGCCACTATATTGGATTATTACATAGTAACAATTAAGGGATATGGAAGTCAAATATGAAGATTTTAATCAAAAAGTTTTTCTCCCCGAATATTCATTATTCACAAAATTGAATTTATTGGCAGATTCTGTGTAGTTTTATGTGACAGTTTTGAAAATAATAGCATTGTCAAATGTAATCTGAATAATTCGACAGCAAGACCGAGCGACTTTACAAATTGATATTACACAGATGTTGGTATTTACGAAGGGCGACCATCGTCTATATAATAAAAAGCATAATTTGCTGGGCTATGTTATATGTTACTTTTACTAGTAGTTGCATAACATGTAAATACCGTGATATCATAGAACCCGTGATATCATAGGAACCGAGTATATACACATTTCTAAAGTGATGGCATCTTTTAGTTAAATGGTGCCGTGATTATGATAAATAATAATTACTGTTGCTTTTGATGTTGGTGATGTTGTTTAGATAGATGTTGCTGTCATTATAGTATATGGTGCTCTCTTTTCATATACTGTGCTGTGATTTTGATAAATGGCGATGTCATTTTGATAAATGGTGATATGGTTCCGAGAAATGGTATTCTGGTCTTAATCGGTTATGCTATCATTTTGATAATTTTGGTATATAGTGATTTTATTTTGTTAGATTGTGCTGTGATTTTCATATATTGTTCTGTTATCATGTATATGGTTCCAAATGACCTCACCATTCACCGAAACAACAGCATTAGATCTAAAAACACCATAGCACCATAAAGCAGAACCACATCACAATATATGGTTCCAAACTCCATCACCATCTTTCAAAATGGCATCACCATATATTGAAACGACATCACCATCTATTATTTAAGTCGCAGCACCGTCTATAAAATGACAGCAACATACGCTTTTATAACATCACCATCTATCAAACCGATATATGAAAACGATAGCATCATCTATTCAAACGACAGCACCATATAACGATAAATATATCACCATACGACCATTACGACATCATAAATTAGCAAAATCATAACATATTATCACTTTAGAATACATGTATGTATATAGGAGGCGGCTATGGCGTTCCATAATAATTTTTTTTTTTTTTTTGAAACATGAAATATGTTTTAGAAAGAATCTCGGCCGTATATAATCTGGTTACAGTGACACAAAGGTAAAGTGTGTGTGTTTTATTTATCTCATGAGCACGAGACACTGTTGTGGCCACGAGCTAAGCTACTTACTCGTGGCCACGAGTTACTTAGTCGTAGGCATGAGATAATTAAGTCGAGGGAACGAGATACTATGTCGTGGCCACGAGTTATTAAGTCGTTGGAACAGATAATTAAGTTGTGCGCACGAGATAAAAAAAAACAATCAGATTACAAGAGATTTATATTAATTTTCCTAGTGCTATATAGCCGGTGCTTGGGGGCGTGAGGGATGTTGCACTTATTCATTATCCCTCCTGTGCAGACTCAATCAAACCGATTTTTCATGTAATTTTGTTTTGTTTAATTCCGAGGGATCACTTTGTTTCAAGATTTTTATACTTCACAATAGCAGGTGTCAAGTGCTGTGTGGCAGCTGTAAAAAGTTTCCCGTACTTCACTTCAGTGTTGTTATATTTTGCTGGTATTTCGGGATCATTGATGCCAGCACTATTAAGTGTTGAAAAATGAGTACCGCTCAAGCCAGTGCTAGGTGGCGTGTGGGATGTTGCACTTATTCATTATCCCTCCTGTGCAGACTAAATCAAAGAGAGTCTGTATTTTTCATACATATGTTGATTGTGATTAATGCTTCCGGGGATCACTTTGTTTCTAGATTTTTATACTTCACAACAGCAGGTGTCAAGTGCTGTGTGGCAGCTGTAAAAAGTTGCCCCGTAATTCACTTCAGTGTTGTTATATTTTTCTGGTCCTTCGGGATCATTGATGCCAGCAAGTGTTGCGAAATGAGTACCGCTCAAGCCGGTGCTAGGGAGCGTGAGGGATGTTGCACT